GACAACATCTCAAAATGAACAACAATAACGACATGTTACAAAGGAGCAGCAAGATGACCTAGGGTTGGACAATCGGTCGGGTTTGGTTGATTTCGGATCTAAAACTTAAATCCGACGTAAACCACAGTTCCATTTTTATGGCCCAATTTCGACCGATTTAATTTTGGTTTTCGTCAGATTCGGTTAGTCGATTTGGCGGTTAAGTCGGATCAGTTTAGTCGGTTTAATATTTATTAGAACAAATCTATAAAAATGGTTTTTCTCTTAATTTTTTATAAAAAAATATCAAATTTTTAAAATAAAACTATTTTATTATTATTAAAAGAAAAATTATTATTACGAGATAATATTTTCAATATTATTTGACATTAATTTTGATCATTATCCTTCTTTAAACTATAAACCAAATAATACTCAAAATTTTGTATTTTATATCTTGTATTTTTTAGAGTACACAAAATCATTATTAAATTATAAAAATGATAATATCGTACAACATTATGAATATAATTTTTATAGCTAGTTAGTCATATAGTAATAAAAATAAATAAACTATATATTAATTAAGTTCGTTCGGTTTTAGTTTTCGTCAGATCCAAAATAAGCATCTGAATCTGACCGAAACAACTTTATACTGTACAAATTAAACAATTGAATCAATCCGACATCCGACCCGATCCATTTGCACACAAAAAATAACAAATCGGTCGGTTTCAAACGATCGGTTCAAATTTGTCCACTCCAAAAATGATCTACTTGAACTAAGTTGTGAGATAATGAGACAAATGAGTCTTGAGTTCAACCGAACAAGAACTTCAATCATTAAGATTTTTTTCTATTATAAAAAATCTAATTTTTAAAAGTTTTAATCTCAACCATTAAAAATTTTATATGACACGTGTCAAAATTCATGCAACAAACTAGAAAATTGGACCCATGTATCACATGTCTTCAAAAAGATAGGAAAAAAAAAAAAAAAACTCACCACCGTCCCATGAGTTTACTATTTTCCATGTTTTCTTTCATTCATATTTATTGGGTCAGATTTAGTATTCAGATTCTCAAAGCATAAAAATACTGATTCAAACCCTTACAATGGCTTCTTCTTCTTCCTCCTCCTCTTCAACCACGTTCTGCAACCTCAAGTTCCACCCCAAAATACCAAACAACAACACTTCCTCTCTTCCTCGTACTCTTCACATGAAGCAGCAGGAGGAGAACAACAACAACAACAACAACAACAACCCTACCCCTCAAATCAATCGAAGGTACACTTTCTCTTTCACTTCTTCCTAATCACTTTTTCTCCGGCCAAATCTCTCACACTTCAAGTTTTTGTCATTTCAAGACAACTCATATTGAGAAGCAGCGAATTAGCTACCATTGGTGCAATCTTCAATTTAAGGTATCATCTTTTTCAATGCCAATACAAAATTTTGTTTAAAAACTTATGAGTAATTGGATTGACATCTGGATTAGTGTTTAGAACCTTTTGATTTCTGTTTTTAATTTTTTGAAAATGAGCGGTGAAATAGAGATTATAGAAAAATTGATAACATAGCTTTTATGCAAAAATTATACTGTAGTTATTAAATAAGCGATTAAGTAAATTATTTTGATGTAGTGGGAAAAAGCCTGAATATCTTGGAGTTCAGAAAAGTTCATCAGCGTTGGCTCTATGTCCAGCAACTAAGAATTGTGTGTCAACTTCTGAGAATATCAGTGATCTCATTCATTATGCTCCTCCTTGGTAAAGTTTCTTTCTTTTTCTCATTTTAATTTTCACCTTAGTTTTTGAGATTATATGATTTGGCTACAATTTCTGGTTTTAATTGAATTATAGGTTTAGCATGATGTTAAATAGGTTTAAGTAGGTTTCTGTTGTCTTTAGTTTTGCTTTAGTAACTTGTTAAGATTGCTTTTGAGAAGAGGCTGCTAAACCAGATTTAGGAGAAATAATAATTAATATGGTCAACCTGGAGTTAACATGTTACTAACTCTCCAGGGTTGGCCTGTTGGTGAAGACTTAGGGTTTGAGAGTGTGCTCTTTTTAAGTTTAAGGTTTTAGGTTTGAATCCCTCTAGGTATTAACAATCTTTGTGTTGGACCAGTCCATATAGAGATTTTCACTGGCTTTAAATAGGTCTTCCGCTAGAGATGGTGGGATTGGTCCCCTTAGATTATTAATGGGATCTTTGTGTGTATCACATTGCAAGTCCATATAGAGATTTGCTCGGGTTTTAAATGGGCCATCTGGTAGGGACGGTAGGATTAGTTCCCTTAAATTATTAGATTATTAATATGGTCTTTGTGTGTATAACATTGCAATAGTTTACTTCTAATGATTTATCATGTTTTTGAACCAACCAATGTTGAATTGGGTTGTTCAGTGTTGAATGTTGACTTTAATATTGGTCCTACCAAAAGTTAAACTCTATTGAACAATAATGGTGTCACTTTATTTAAATTTTATAATCATTGTTCAGGAACTATAACCCTGAAGGCAGGAAAAGTCCTGTGAGCAGAGAAGAGGCAATGGAGGAACTAATAGAAGTGGTAATAAATCTAATTCAAAGCACACGTTTTACTATAAAGTACAGACTTCAACAAAGACACTGACACTCCGACACAAATAATATAAAAAATATATGACACTGCTAGATATATGATAGTTGCATATAGCTATAGAAACAAACACTATATACAACTATCTTTTAGGAACCAAATTTGACTTTTAGTATTCAATTTTAGGGGTGAATAAGATTTTGTTGTACTATTAATCAATCATAATCATTGGATCATTAGAATTATTAGACACTCTATACACTTTTTAAAGTCACAGACATGACTGATTAAGATATATTGACAGCATTAGACTTCTTACACTGACGGTGCGTGAAAATTAAACTCTTCACAACTTTAGTCAGATGTTTGTCGATATTTTAGTTTTAGGAATCAATTTGGAGATTCACTCAACAATTACTATAACTGAATTGTTATAACATGTTATCTGCACTTCACCATTGTGGAAAACTTTACAGATAGAATCAACAAGACCGGAAAAATTTACACCAAGAATAGTCGAAAGGAAAAAAGACTATGTTCGAGTGGAGTATCAAAGCTCAATCTTAGGGGTATGTTTGCGAGACTCGCGTTTAAGGAAAATGAAACTCATCATAATCATTTAATACATATATATATGATTTCAAGAACATGCTCTAATCCACGCTTCCTTCACATTACCATGTAAACAGTTTGTAGATGACGTTGAGTTTTGGTTCCCACCAGGTAAAGGTTCGATCGTAGAGTATCGATCTGCATCAAGGTTGGGAAACTTTGATTTTGATGTTAATAGAAAAAGAATCAAGGTAAAACTCTATCATTGATATGTGCTTTCTCTAGAGCTATGTTAGATAGAGTGATTCTTAGATAATGTGATGGAAAAAAAATCTGGTTTGTTGACAGGCACTTAGACAAGAGTTGGAGAAGAAAGGATGGGCATCTCAAGATACTATATGAGAAAACTTATGAAGATTCATATAAATTTAATCAACTATAACAAATTGAAATATTGCTGCTAATGCTTTGTAACCTGCAATTATTTTTTATTGAACTACAAAGCTTACACAATCAATGTAAGAAAATGTCAGATTATTAGAAATGTTGACATCATTGATAACAATATTTTAGCTCTCTAAGGAAGGAATAATATAATGATATTGTTTCATTGACTTGAAACTGTTAAAACATCATAATTGAAGAAAATATGTATATAATTGCAAAGGACGGAATAATAGTTTGCCAAGGCCTCCAATCAGCCTCTTCCAGTACAAAATTTGTGTCAATGTCAGTTTAGTTTCTAATAATTTACAATCAGTGTAAAAGAAGTGTTATCCTGCTATAATGATACAATCAAGATTAATTAGGATCAATCTATTAGAGTATAGACTAGAGTTAGTTATGCATTCTGTTGTAAGTCATAACTAACTGATAAAGTTAGTTATGCTGAAACTACCATTCTGTTATGCTTTGCTTTCGGTATATAAAGCATTGCAGTGTATCAGTAATAGTTGATTTCAATGAATACAAAATACAATTCTCTCTGAAATATGCTCCTCTTACAAAACTCTATTATGGTATCATGAGCTTGTGATTCATCACAGCCATGGCTTCCGCTTCTGATCTTCCACCATTCTTCCCGGATCCTCCAACTCCGGGAAGTAACACACCGTCTTCTTCAATATCCAACGCAGCAGCTTCAAACCTGAAGAATGCGTTCAAAACATTTGGGCAACACATCACTATCAAGCTTGATAACAACAACTTCCTCTCATGGAAGCAATAAGTTGAAGGTATCATTCGTATTCATAAACTTCACCGTCACCTTGCAAATCCTAATATTCCTCCTCGATACCTTTCTACCAACGATCGTGCTTCAGATCTAGAAAATCCTGCATATGTGCAATGGCAGCAAGAGGATTCTCTCCTTTTCACTTGGCTTCTCACCACTCTTTCTGATGTTGTTCTCCCTTGTGTTGTGAGGTGTGTTCATGCGCATGAAGTGTGGACTGTAATTGATCAATTTCAGAGAACTCAGGTGTATGCGAAGTCACGACAATTAAGGTTTGAGTTGCGTACCATGGAGAAAGGTGACAGAACTATCGCTCAGTACCTAGGGTGAATTCAACAAATTGTGGATATTCTTGAATCCATTGGCGATCCAGTCTCGCATCGTGATCCCCTTGAGACTATTGTGGATGGATTACCTCAAGAATACCAAGCCCTAGCATCCATTATTCAGTATCGAGATCAGCCCTGTGAAATTGTAGTTGCAGAGACGATGCTTCTCTCTCATGATTTCAATCAGTTTCAAGTTTCAATCAGTGTTTATTTAATCAGTTTCAAGTTCCAATCAGTGTTTATCACCTATTTGCTCATAATGTGTTCTAGACATATCCTATTGTAGAATGTTATCACCTATATTATATATCACATGAAATTTAGACTAAACTATAGCCTGGGAGCTTAAAGGCATTTCTCTTATCTATCATTTCCCTTAATCTCTCGACATCCTCGAATCTCCCAACACCTGCCAAAATATTGGACATTAGAACATAATCACCGCCATGCCCCTTCTCCATCTCCAATATCTTCTTGGTCACCCTCTGACCAATTTCAACGTTGTCATGAACACTGCAAGCTCCGAGAAGCGTTCTCCAAATAACATCATTTGCAACCTCACGGGGAACCTGCATGGCAACCTTTTCAGCTTCTTCCAACCTCCCTGCTCTCCCAAGCATATCTATCACACAACCATAATGTTTGACATCCGGCACAAGTCCATAATCATTCACCATTTTACCAAAAAACTCAAGCCCCTCCTCGACCAATCCACCGTGACTACAAGCACTCAAAACACTAAGAAACGCAACATGATTCGGTTGCACGCCAGCCTTCTCCATTCTTTCAAAAGTCTCCACAGCCTCCCTCACCATCCCAAATATAGCAAAACCAGATATAACAGAATTCCACGACACCAAATTCTTCCTCCAGTCAGGCATCTCCCAAAACAACCTGCTCGCACTCTCTATACATCCACACTTCGCATACAAATCAATCAACGCATTCGCAATCCTTATATCAACCGCATTAAACCCTCTCTTCTCCACACACCCATGAACAGACCTACACATCTTAATATCCCCAAGACCAGCAACAGCAGGAAAAACAGTCAAAAGGGTAACCTCATTCGGCTCTATACCATCAACCTCAACCATTTTCCTAAACAATGCCAAAGCTTTCAACGGCTTATTCACTCTCGTATATCCATCAATAACAAGAGTCCACGAGACTACACTGCGAACCAACATCCGATCAAAAACCGACCGAGCTAATTCAAGCTGACCCCATTTAATCAAACCATGAATAAAAACATTCCAAGTAACCGTACTTCTCTGCGGCATTTCATCAAACACCTCTGCCGCGGAAACCAAAAGTCCCCAACTTGAGTACATACGAAGCAACCCAGTTTGAACATAGACATGAGATTGAAAACCCAGTTTAAAAACAAGACAATGAAGATGAAACCCGAAAGAACTAGAGCTAAAATTCGCGCAAGTGTGAGAGAGGAAAGTGAATGTGAAGGAGTCAAGTGAAAGAGGGTGTGTGAGGGAGTTGAGAGTGTAGGCGAAAAACTGAAGAGCGTGATGGGGGGAAGAGGAGAGGGAGTAGGAACGGATGAGGTTGTTGAAGAGGAGTAAGGAAGTGGGGTTGTTGTGGAGAGGGTGACGGTGGAAGAGGGAGGAAGTGATGATTTGAGAGTGGAGTAGTTGGAGAGGTTGGAGGTGGGAAGGGTTGTGAAGGAGAAGGGAGAGGAAGTGTTGTGGGTGCTTTGGTTTGGGATTTTGAAAATGGTGGTTGGTGGTTTCATGAGAAACGATGGTGGTGGGTGCTATGGCTGATGCTGCAACACAAGATGAAACAGAGTATCTTAACTTCAAATGTGACATTGTTGATAACCAAAAACAGGTTATGTTATGTTGAAAATTTTATACGGTTTGGTTTGTCTTTTACCAAACACTAATACATGTGAATTCAATTCGGTAATATTTTTGGAGATAATTGAAAAACTCACCTAATAAAACTAAGTCATAATATAGTTTGATAGAATGTGTAAAAAATTTTTGCACTTTTAAAATACAAAATATGTTATTTTAATCATACTAATTAGATTTTAGGAATCAATAAAATAAATTTGCATACATTACTTAAAATAACAGATTAATTATAAATTTCTTAAACTTTTTAAACTTAGACCTCCATCCTCACTCTCCCTACAAATCATGTTCCATTGTACCTTGCTTACTTTTCTATTTTCTACTCCCCCACCCCACAAAAACTTTTTAAATATTGACTGAAGAGTAGATATAATACCTGACGGTGTTTTGAAGAACGAAATGTAAGGAGTACAATGTGTCCGTCAATAGATAAATATCTATGGTTCTATTTGGATAATCTCTTTAATACAACCTCAATCGCCGGTTTTCAAAATCCCTTTCTTCTATGATTACCTCTAATAAAAATCACGAGGTATTTAAACGGTAAAGTTCCAACTTTATAATTTAATACTTGTGCCGCTTCTTCCAACCATTCATGTGAAACATTTACCCCGATTAAGAGATTTTTGTGAAAGTTCACCTTTAATCCGAAAATTATTTCAAACAACTGCAAACTTGCCTTAATGCTTCACACATTTTTCCAACACTTCTTTTCCACAATTAGCGTGTCATATGCGTACGGAAGTGTGACACTTTTACCTCTCTGTTCCCAAACTCATACCCTTCGAAACTATTTAAATGAATACATTTCAGACATCATCATGTTAAGCCCTTATGCTGCTATCAAAAATAGAAAAGACGATAAAGGATCGCCTCGCCTCAGACTTCTACAAACTTTGAATTTTGTCGTGGAGCTGTCATTTACTAGAACCGAAATCCTAGTACTCTGAATGCACTCTTCATCCGGTCTCTTCATTTACTATTAAATTCCATTTTCTCTATCACGAAGTCCAAGTATTTTCAATCCACCAAGTCATACGCCTTTTCGAAATCAACTTTAAACAATATCGTCTCTCTTTTTCTTCTTTTTACATCCAAAATTCCTTCCACCTTCCACCATTTGACAACCTTCTACAAAAGTCCGAAATTACTTTTTTAATCACTCTCTTCAATCTATTTGCCAACAGTTTTAACAACACCTTATACATACTTCCAATTAAAGTGATTGGCCTAAATTCGGTATTATTTGATTTGACGTCATTATTTGAGTTAGAACCCTAATAATCAAAATTGTATAGAAATTTCTAATAATTATTACCATTTTATCTAAACACCAAAACTAAAAACAAATAACATTAGTTTTGATTAATTATCACTTTAGCATATAAATTATTTTAAAATGAATGTTATTTTTATTTTTTATAAAATTAATTTTCTTCTCTTAATTATGTCCTCTTTTTAATACTCTACACTATTTTCAAAATATTACATTTTATATTTATGTTTATGATAATGAAAATCATACCAAAATGTTAATTTGATAGAAATATCATGATTTTTAACCATTTTGTTAAATTATATACTTAATCTATAGTACAAATTACGAGCATGATCCAAAGTAAGCTTCATCCAAATCATTAAAAAATTAGGAATCAAATCGGTGTAATCTAATAATAGAAACAACTTCAATTGAAGTTTGTGAAAATTTAGCTACAAATATACACAATCATTTAGTAATCATCCACTTGTAACATTCTTACATAAGTAAACAAAATGTGATTTTAAAAAGGAATAGGCTTTCTTTCCGGCCATGATTCTATCTTCTGGAAATACTTAGATGGAACAACACCATCAAAACCTTCTGTCAAGATCACCTTGTTGTCAGAAATGTACAACTTTATACCTTCTGAAATGAGAACAAAGATATTAGAAAAAAGCAACAAACAAAAAATTTTAACTTAGAAAAAGTTTAGAATATTATCATACCCTCCAATGCTTTTCTGACATCAAGAAATATCAGAACATTGACATCTCGCCTCATACCTGTGAACAAAATATAATTAGAAAAGAAATTAGGTAGGTGCATCAAAGGAAATCACAGAAAACCAAAATATATTCATATTTAAACTTTTCCATGGGTAAATAAGATTCTTTTCAATAATATATTCGCATTACCACTTATTACTTCTCCATCTGTTGGTAAACCACAAGAGAAATGAACATGCAATCTCTTCATGCGTTTCAGACCAGATGATAGAATTGACTCTAAATTCCTTCTATAAGTTCCATGCACGCAAACTGCATTTTGGGGGGAAAATCAAGATATAGAAATAGAACTAATCAAATAGAATGTGAATTGTAAAGGCAGTATACAACTCTTCAGTTGTTGTAGAATTGTGTTGATATGATATGGTTCATGGTAAACCTGATATGTGCCAACATATCCATTATTCAAAAGACAATTTCATATTGCATTACAAATATGTATATAATCTAGTAGTTAATATGTTGCTAAGTATTAGGTTCATTAAGAATGAAGACTATACTCTATAGCAACACAGCTTCAATAAATATGCACCTGGAAATTCTTCAGCTGAAAGGATTGGTTTCAATAAGCTTTCAGTTTCGACAGCCTGCAGATCAAAAGTCAATGACAGTATTTTAACATCAGATGAAGAACGTAGAATGAATTCACAATGAAATGCTTAATAACCTGATATTTATGCAATAGGACTAGCCATTGTAAGCAGAACAGTAATTTTAAAGATATATTCCACCAACAAGGGCAGTATACAGTTGACTCTGCTCCCCCAGCTATTTACACAATCAACTATACAAATCAGTTGTTACACATTTTCACTTCCCTTCTTACGCCACTTTACAATACACACTCTTAATCTTAACCTTGAGTTCCTATCACCAATATAAGTTATTTTTCGGTACTAAGTACTGATAATATCATACCTTAAGTGCTTTAGACTCATTGTATCAATACTAACAATTAAAGGCGGACTTTATAATGTAATATTTAACTAATGAATGTATCTAAAGCGGTGTAAGCAATTCATATAAAGAAAACGAAACATGCAGTCATTTAGAACTTCAGAAATGTAACTTCATGTCATATTACTTTGTAAAAATGCAAAAGGAAAGAAAAAACTAGCAAGTCATTTAGTGTAAAGAGATTTTCATTGATCGCATCTGAGCATGAATACAAAAAAGTAATTAGCTGCATTACCATTTTGAATGTGTTACAGGGTACAGTCTCACTTCAATTATACAAAATTTCATAGGCAAATGGGATGAGTTAGTATTTGATGAACAATAGAACACTTAACCGTTGTTGTGTGGCCTTGGTTTGCACGTATTAGTAGCTCCCCATTCTCTTCTAAGAGGCTGAAACGTTGCTTATTATCTTTTCGAACAGCCTGAGGAAAACCATTGAGATAATTTTGAATAAAATGTTTTTCTTCAGCAAATTCATATATGAAATTAACATTATGGTAAAGTATTCATACTAATAACTAGATAAACAAATATTGAAGAAGAAAACTCTATTTTGTATTTCTCATCTTTTTCATGTATTGGTCCTTTCAAAACACAGGAGTACAAGAAAAAAAGGAAAGAAAATCCGTAATATATGATGCTACTAATCAGCATAACAACTTTATTCAATAAAACAGATGACAAGTTCCTTGGTAATTATTCCCTTAATTCAAGTCAAGAAAATGCTTCACACATTAACCATGTTTCCTACAAATAAAATAACATCCATGTTCACGGATAAATATTCAAAATCAGCATTTTCACAGCCAGAAACGTGTTTAAATTTATGAGTATTCTAAGTCAGATGTTAGAATTAAATAAAACTATAGATATTCTAGATTGATTGTTAGTATTCCTAGAGTATATAACTTCCTAGAATAGTGCTTATTCATTAGACATTCATTGTATTTATTGTAAATGAGTAGTCAATGGCGGCCAATACCAGCGCTATCCCACTATAGCAGGGCGGAGGCCAACCGTTACCGGAAGAGCCTTAGCGGTGCAGAACACTATAGCAGCTGCTATAGGGTAAATAGCTGGATTGCGGAGTAGAGCGGTTCCCAGCCCGGAGCGGTTTCTGGCCCTCTATCCTTTACCCCTCTAAAAACCCGAAATTACCCCTTAAATTTACAATGTTTTAAGGGTTATTTTAGGTTTTTCAATCAAATTTGAGTTGACACTCAACCTTAACCTTCCTCCATAGTCGTTTATGCACTTCCAAGAGTAATGTGTGCTTTGATTTATGAATATTTTAAGAGTTTAATTATTTGTTTAATTTTACATTAAATATATGTTTATTATTATTATATGTAATTTGTCAATAAAAAAAGATCAAATAGAGCAGCTATCCCGCTATCCCACTTTTGGTGTCGGCCGCTCTACACCGCTATCCGGGAATGCCTACTCTGATTGTACTACCAGTATAAATACATGGAGTGTGGCCTAAGTTAGAGACACAAAATTTACACTTTTATCAGTAATACAACCAACATCTACATGTTCCTAAATTATGAATATATAACGGATTCAGTTGTTGAAAGGATGAATCAGTAAACTCATAAACTATGGTCGGACTGTTTACCCAAGATTAAGACAAGTAGTAAGAAACAATCTTCTACCTTCTAAGAATGGGGTTAGAAAGGAAACGTCTATGTAAGCAAAGCAATGATAACAAGTAAAATATTGTTCAATGTTTAAAGTGCCATTGAAATCAATGCAATTTTTGTGTTTCATAACATAAAAATAAACATAATGCAGTCTGGCTAATATCAAGAATATGACTTTATTTTTTATTTATTTATATTTTCATAAAAAATGATTCCCTCATAATGAGACACAGGAATCAAATTAAAACAGAAGCGAATAGCGTATAAAATGGAATGAGCATGTGAAGCCGGAAACAGAAAGAAAAAAATACATATACTAAATCAACTGACCTCCCTAATGTCATCAATAGTGTGAGATCGTAGAGGAATATTAGCTAAAGTCTTCAAATTCAGCTTTAGCAAATCATTAACATTCACATAACCATCACTCCTCATATTCAATTTCAATTCAGATGCCATATGACGTAAAATCCGTGTCCTGCAGATATTAAACAAACGCATAGTTTGAGTAAATTGCTTAGTAAATAATTAAGCACAAAACAGGTTAATTAAGTCACAGCATAGAGTTCATCCACTATGCTCCTACAATCCCATGCAAACAAAATATGTATTATTTTTCAAAAGAAACTGCTTTTAATTGGCTAAAGTTACAAGAGACATCCCATAAAAATGCTTCCTTCCTTAATCAAAGTGTGACAGATAGACAAACTTCTTTCCATACATGAAAAGAACGATAATATCCACTTGATTTTACACACGAAAGAACAATAACAAATGAAACCAGTATTCTGTACCTATAAAGGAATAAATTAATTTTAAAAATATTTATGAAAACAAAAACTATGAGAGGGCAAAGTCGTGCTTACAAGAGCCTACCAAGAGCATCAATTTTATCCTTTCCCGAGCCACTCGGACCACCACCACCACCACCCCGTCCTCTTGTTCTTTCTCTATCATTTCTTGTATCAAAAGCCCTTCCTCTGCCATTGCCAGAGCTGCCCACAAAAGTTCAAAAAGTATAAATCTCTCAGCTTTACTCTATAATGGAAGCTACTAATAAGTGCACACAAGACAAAGAAATCAATGACACAAACTTATCCAAATTGAATCACTAGAATAAACACAATTCTAATGCTATGAAATTCACAAAACTAAACATAAACCCTATGAAATTCACAATTTCTCTCACAATACTATAAACTACAAAAACATCCCAACAACATTGACATAAAATCATCGATTTTGAATTCTAACCCTAAATTGAAGAAGAGTTAAAAAACAATTACCTTGGAGTGGCGCGAGCATAGGAATTGGTATTATTGTATACGTTGTTGTTGATGTCCATTGGAGATGGAAGTGAGGCGAAGAATCTGAGAGATGGAAATAGACGACGGAGACGGGGAGGAAGGAGAGTACAGCGGCGTAGAACAATGGTGCCGGTGTTGGTCACCGGAGAAAACAACATGAGAATTGAAATCGAAAGTGTAAAACAGAAAGGGAACGGATTCGAATCCTCCACAGCTAGTGTGTATACAGCTTTCACTGATGCATAATCTAAGCCTTTGGATTGATCTGACGCTTCAAATGTTAAATATAGTATTTTGATCAATAACACAAATGTTAATGCACACGAAAATATAAATAGCATTTTTTAGTTAATTTTAATTACTTGTGTTACAAAGCATGCAATATGTATTAATATATATATATATATATATATATATATATATATATATATATATATATATATATATATATATATATATATATATATATATATATATATATATATATATATATATATATATATATATATATATATATATATATATATTAGATTTTGTTTAAAATATATAATAATGTGAATAGTAACTGATTAAGAAAATGTTACTAAGTGATTACTATTGAGAGTAATTGTAGATATAAAATTTTATATATAAAAGTTGTTAAGTTTTTTAGAAATTTTTAAAGCTTAAAAATTGAGGGTAATTTTATAATTTTATTTTTACTTATTTCTTATTATTCTTTTATTTTGTTTATTATATTTCTTTTTAAAATTATCTTTTTTTATTAATTTTTTATTAATTTTCAAACCCGATGTTTTTTTATTATGAAAGTAAGTTATCAATTGTTAAGTTTTTTAGAAATATTTCGAGGCAAAATTAAGGATAAGTTTGTGTAAGTTTATGCGTGGTCTTGAAGGTGGGTGAATTAGATTTATTGTACTTTTCTTAATTTGAAGTGTTAGTATTGGTTTTGTTATTTTTTCAAAAATGATATGAAAGTAAATATGCTGAAAAATAAATGTAGAAAGTAAATGACACAATGATATATCCTGATTCCCCTCACAATCCAAAAGTATTTCAGTCCCCTCACTCCCCTGTGAGAGATTTCCACTATGTCAGATTTTTGTACAAGTCTTCCACCAAGATCTATCCTACAATCTTTTAACATAAGCAACACAATCAACAAGGACAATCCCCTTATGATCTTTACAAAGTGCAATAAGAGAACAATCCTCCTTTATTCAATCTCTTGCTTCCAACAATCCTGTACAGCAAGGAAATCACAACAATCTGAATTTTTACAAGTGTTTGAAGTTGTATAACAATGTATATCGATTCCTCGAATTGATTTTCTCTATCAAGTATGCAATTCTCAATACGTAGTACAAGTACGTAATGATTTTATGTAGTTGAAACTATTTGAAAATGTAATGAAATTGATGTGCAAAAATTTTAACAAAAAGTTATGTCAAGAACACTTGATTTTAAAAATGAGAGAATATAAGTTTTGAATTGTTATGAAAAAGAGATGAGTTTGAATTCTGAAAAGTATGGTTTATATAGAGTCTTAACACCTTTATAAAAGTGTACAAATACATGAAAAGATGTCATGGTTCAAAAAGGCTTTCAAAATTTCGTTTGCATCAAAATTTTCATGAAAAAGTGCCATTGGTTCAATGGTAACTGATTACCTCAAAAGTAACGTAACAATTTAAAAAAAAGTTCATGTAACTGGTTACCTCACCATGTGACTGGTTACCTTACTGAAAGTTATGAAAAACACTTTTTGAAAACATATGAGAAAATTGTGCAAGTTGTGGCGGTTTTAAAGTGCTATTACGGAGGTTTGAAATGCCATAATTTACCACAAACAGAATAGTTAATTTAGAAATAATTTTAAAATATGCATGAAATGTTTAAGATGAATATTCATGACTTTTATGAGAAATTAAGATATATATACTTGAATTGTAATGCATATTTAATTATCTTGATTCTTCCATTCATTTTTCAAATTTTTTTGATAATTTGAACTTAATTGCTCTAACCTTCAAACTTTGACTCTTCTTTTTGTTGATGTGTTTGTCTTCGTCAAAATTATAACCTATGACAAGAAGAAATATTCTTCACATTCTCCCCCTTTTTGATGATGACAAACCATTATTTGAAATTTGACTTGTTAATCAATGAGTTGATTTAATATGTGACTTTTTGAAATGTTGAGTAGCAACTAGAGTCTCCCCCTATCTTGTATATCTCCCCATTGCTTTTGAAATTCAAGGCTTTCTCCCCTAAAATATTTTTGAACAAGAACAAATACAATACCTATTATTTCTCCCCCTTTTGACATCATCAAAAAGAAGATAAAGTATAATAAAGTATAAAGCAAGGCGATAACATAGGAATGATATATTATTATAATTGAAAATTAATAGCACAAAATTAAACACTTACCTCCTTCATAAGAATTTGATGTCATAGTTTATATTAATATTGATACTTCTTCAAAACATCTTTTTAATAAATGAAACTTTTAGAACTACCATATTATATGGTCTTGCATCTTGAAGGATCAATCTTGATTTAACAATGTTAGCATATGATCTTCAAGTACCTAAAAAACAATTAGTTACATCTAGGTACCCAATTTTTTCATGTTCTTGATCACTTGAATGATGTGAGACCATCAATGCCTTACATGCATGATCTTCATCTAAAGATGAACTTATTTCATTGTCATCCCATGCTACATATACTTTCTTTTCCTTTTTGTGATTCTTGTTTTTGAATTTTTATTTCTTTTCAAGTGTAGGACATTCTCTCTTAAAATGTCTCATTTTTCCATATTCAAAACATGTAACTCTCCTTATTGGTGCTTCTTTGTGAATGATCTCATTTTTCCTTTCTTTTCTCAATAACTTTTCAAACTTTTTAATAAGATTATCATCGTCATCAGTGGATTCCTCCTCTTGATGGCTATCATAAAATTTGACTTTTTTCTTTAATACAAAATCTTTTGAATCTTTTACTTGTATTTCATGTTGCTATAATCTTTGAAGTTTTCACGTTACTTGTATTTCATGGTAGAAAGACTCTTCTTTTCTGATATCCTCGTCACCTTTGGTTGTCATTCCCTAGTTAAAGACCTAAGAAGTTATTCTTATCATCTTCATTCCATGAATTTTTAATCTTTTTTGTCTCAAGGCCATTGCCAACACTAGTAGGAACAAATGGACCATTTTGTACAGCATCCCAAATATCTTCTCCTTGTGCTTCTAGATGTGTCTTCATACGAATTTACCAAAAATCAAAGTATTCACCATAAAACAATGGAGGTTTGTTATTGCTTCCACCATCTCTGAATACTAGGTTTGCGGAAGCCATTATGGATCACAAGAGCAAATCACTTGAACCGACTCTGATACCAATTGTAAGTTTATGTGTAGTCTCTAAGAGAAGGGTGAATTAGATTTATTGGATTTTTCTCAATTTGAAGTGTTAGCACTAGTTTTTTTATTTTTCAGAAATGATATGAAAGTAAATATGCTGAAAGTAAAGGACACAATGATATATCCTGGTTTCCCTCACAATCCGAGAGCACTTCAATCCCCTCACTCCCCATGAGAGATTTCTACTATGTCAGATCTTTGTACAAGTCTTCCACCAAGACCTATCCTATAATCTTCTAACATAACCAACACAATCAATAAGGACAATCTCCTTATAACCTTTACAAAGTGCAACAATAGAACAATCCTCTCTTATTCACTCTCTTGCTTCCAACAATCCTGGACAGCAAGAAAATCACAACAATCTGAATTTTTATAAATGTTTGAAGTTGTATAACAATGTATATCAATTCGTAAAATTGATATTCTCTATCAAGTAGGAAATTCTCAATATGTAGTACAAGCGCTTAATGATTTTATGTAGTTGAAACTATTTGAAAATGTAATGAAATTGATGTGCAAAAGTTTCAACAAAAAGTTATGTCAAGAACACTTGATTTTTAAAATGAGAGAATATAAGTTTTGAATTGCTATGAAAGAGAGATGAGTTTGAAATTTGAAAAGTATGATTTATATAGAGCTTTAACACCTCTATAAAAGTGTACAAATACATGAAAATATGTCATGGTTCAAAAAGGCTTTCAAAAATTCGTTTGCATCAGAATTTTCATAAAAAAGTGTCACTGGTTCAGTGGTAACCGGTTACCTCAAAAGTAACGTAACAAGTTTTAAAAAATGTTCATGTAACTGGTTACCTCACTGAAAGTTTTGAAAAACACCTTTTGAAAACATATGAGAAAATTCTGCAAATTGTGGCGGTTTTAAACTGCTATTACGGCTGTTTGAAATGCCATAATTTATCAAAAACAGAATAGTTAATTTAAAAATAATTTTAAAAGATGCATGAAAGGTTTAATATGAATATGCATGATTTTTATGAGCAATTGTAATGCATATTCAATCATCTTGATTATTCCATTAATTTTTCAAAACTTTTTGATTATTTGAACTTGATTGCTCCAGTCTTCAAGCTTGGACTCTTCTTTTTGTTAATGTGTTTGTATTCATCAAAATTATAACCTAGGACAAGAAGAACTCTTATTCACAGTTTGTAATTAAATTTTTACTTATTTCTTTATTATTTGTTTTATTTATTTAATTATATGCTTAAATAATTTATTGGTCTCTATAAGTTGGCGAAATTTTGATTTTGTTCTTGCAATTTTTTTTTTTGGGTTTGAGTTCCTATATCTCATTTTTTGTGTTGGTTTTATAAATGAGCAAATGACCCCCGCTTTTGCCTATTTATAGTCCATCTCCATGGCATGGGTAAGCGTGTCGTCCCTATGCTTTTGAGTACCCCTACTCATAGGCTATCATAGGCATTTAATGTCTCTGACATGTGGCGCGAGGTGTAACACCCTTCTAAACCCCACGGAAAATATATGCATAATCAGAGTAAAATTAACATGCATTCAAGAAAGGGAGTTACACATAACTTTCAAACATCCAAAAACCATCTGTCATGCTCATTAATATTTCAATAAATAATCATGCTTTACAAAATTTTACTTTGCATGTAGCAGCGGATTCATTTTTGTAACAAAATTCATAAAAGCAATATTTGCGTTCATCACATATATTATCATCACTTGGGCACTAAGGCCAAC